CTTCTGACATCTGAACACTGAGCAGTACTTGCTCTGTGTCCAGCGCTTCAGCCCGGTTGTTGCCCTGTAGGACTTACTGGTGTGTTTCTAGTAAATATATGCAGATTACTGGCATAGTTCATATGACCCAAGTATTTCTGAAAAACAAACTTCTGATGATGAGTAACCGGCAGCTTCTGTTTCTAGAGAGCTTATGGAGGATAAAAACACCCAAGCATTCTTTTAAGGAAACGCAAAACATTAGGATTTAGCTACACCTGCAAGTAAATACTCTGTGTATTAGCTGGAAGTGTTTGCCTTGGACCTAATATTTAGAATAGCTCTGTTCATTGTTTCCTCCAATGCTGATGTCCACCAACTGGTAAAGGGGTCAGTGGACTAGAATATAGCTCTAAGTGGACATTTCTCTGAAGTGAGAAGGGACACACAGGTGAGTTAGCCATGTATTGTGCTGGGTGCCTGCTGTGCCATGGCGTGGCCCACTTCATGGCAGCTACACAAAGCAAACCAGAGGTCTAGAAAAGAGGGCATGGGTGCCGGACAGCGCTAACCACAAAGGGCACATGGGACTGTGGAGAGTAACATACCTGTTCTGTATCAACTCAGCTGTTTCTGTTTTTTTAATATTTATTTGAGTTTATGCATGTGTATGCACGTGCCCACTGAGGCCAGAAGAGGATTCAGGTACCCTGGACCTGAGTTCCAGGCAGTTGTGAGTTCCTGATTTGATGCACTCTTAACTATTGAACCATTGTTCCAGCCTCCACATCCTTTTATTTTTGAGAGTCTCACATAGTCCGTGCTGGCCTTGAGCTCCTTCTTTTCCCTCCCAAATGCTGGGATTAGAGGTGTGAGCTATGATGTTTAGTAGTATATCAAATATAAAATGCACTCATGTAAAACTTTACCTCAATAAAGCTAACTTACGTTTTTTGTTTTTTTTTTTTTTTGAGGCAATAGATCAGAAAAGGTTTGATTTACATGTATACTAATTCACATAGTTCACAAACTGAACGTGAAGGGATCCAGCGGAGTCTTGTTCCCGCCCCACACCCTAGATCTTTTACATGTCTTGAGTTTCATTATAAAAGCACGTGTCGTTCGATCTGTGGTCTCATCGTCTGTGTCTCGTTACCTGTGGTCAGCTGCAGTGTGAAAGCGATGGGTCGAAAGTTCTAGACGTGAACAACTCATAAGCAGTGTGATGAAATCTTGTACTGTCCCACCCAGGAACTGAATCTGCCCTCTGTGCTGCTGCCTGCCCTCCGTAAGCCAGACAGTGCGTGGGAAGACCGCGGTGCTGTTTATCTGACCCTCGTTTTAGTAATGCTGTGTGGGGTGCTGCCAGTTCAGACAAGCCATAGGAAGGCCGTAACACTCACTCAGTGCAAAGCTAGACGAGCTATGAGCTCCTTAACTTAGACACAGACCCTTGAGGAGCATGTGTTGGAACTGTTGTTTTATCAGTTTGTTTCTTATGGTGCTTTGTTTGTAAATTTAACCCAGGAGGATATGTATAGCCTGCCCTACCCCTGCCTCTGGTTTGCTATAAGTTTTCAGCTTTGTACTGGGTTTGTGGGGCTGTTAAGTTCACTTTGCACTTGTGGAGGGTTTGTTGAGTTTCACTGTGTGTCCAGGAGCACCGCCACACAGACTTTAGTACTGTCCGAACAGTCTGCATCCTTTGGGGGCACTTGGAATGCTTCTGGTAACAAAATCTTGGGGCAGGGGTGTACAAGGGAGACCTATCGTATAACTGGGCCAGCCCTAAGTAGACCTGTTCAGCATTTAGAACTTACCTTATGAGGGGCTTCTTCCCTGGCGGTTCTTGGAAAGCATTTTGATTGACGGTGTATGTCACTGTTGCCTGGGAACTCTAGGCATCCTTTAGTCAATTGGTGTTCTGCTCTTTCTTGGTGGCTGTCAAGAGGGCTTCCTGAACATTGGCTCAGCATGGACTTTGCCTCATTTTCATTTCATCCTGAGAGGAGCATTGGTCACTCCATGGCAGTGGAATGCTTGTTACAAAAGTAGCCTTCAGGAAGCAGTGGAGTGGCCTTCTGCAGAGATCGGCTGGTGCCACCACACCCGGTTTCTGTGGCCTGAGGATGAACCCAGGGCTTTGTGCAGACAAGTGAACGCATCGGGAGCTGAGCTCCACCCCTGACCCTGCCCTTCATTTTATGTGTTTTCCTAACCTGACAGGTTGCTACTCTGTGAAGATGGACTCAGCAGGGCTGCTTCTAACCCACTGTCCCCTGAGGGCGCCCCCACTGGTATTTCTTTACTAGAGTTTCCTTTTTGTTTATATACTGAGAAAACATTAAGTCCATCGCCGTAGAAAGAGTCCAGTCCCTCTTGCTGTGCCGTACTGTCACGTATACCTCTGTGGTCTGAGTCTGTCACTGAGACACCTGTCCTACTTTTAGAAAGCAGTCTTGTGTCTTAGCTCCAAGTTTGTCGGATATGTACAACATTAATGGGAATCAGGTCTTGGCTCTTTAAATGCCACTGTTGAGACAAAACTATTTGCAGATGATTCTGTGCTTAAAGCTTTATCTGAAGTGGACATTTGTTGCCTCGTGTTCTTTGGCTGTGTAAGTAGAGTAGGGTTACTAATGGCTTGCTCTGTGTAATCAAAAACTACTGTGGTCCATACCTGTAATCCTAGAGTTCAGAGAGTGAGGCAGGAGAATTGTGCATTTGAAGCCATCCTAGACTTCATAGCAGGAACTTCTCTCAAAAGAGCAAGAATTATGGGGAAAAGGCCTTAGGAGACATCTTAGTTCCTTTTCTGTTGCTGTGGCAAAACGCCGTGACCCAGGCGACTTAAGACAAAGCATTTAATTGGGCTTAGGGTTAGAATCCATGGCAGCAGACCGCAGGTTCAGCTGAGAACTCACATCCTGACACTCGGAATGGCACCTGAAATCTCAGAGCTCACCCCCAGTGATGGCCGTGCCTTCCAGTCTTCACCAGACATGTCCACCAATTAGGGACCAAGTATTCAAACAAATATTCCAAATGACCCATGTGGGCCATTCTTCTTCAGACCAGCACACGAGAGATGGCAGTTTGTCTCAGAGGCAGAGCGTACTTATTACTTTATTTTCTCTCTCCCCATAAAATACCGATTCTTTTATTAACGTAGAGATGAGAATTCTCCCTCTCGCCTTTGTCTGGGTCCAAGACTCTTCTGGGCACTTGCCAATCCTTTTTGTTTTATTTAGAAAGCCAGGCATGGTAGTGAACATTTTTAACCATAGCACTTGGGAGGCTGAAGCAGCCTGTGCTAAATGGATATTTCATAAATAAAGCAAGCCTGTTTCCCAGTCTTCAGATGAGACGCAGGCGTGCGACTCTGCTAATGTAGCAGAGGAATAAAGGAGGGTTGCGGCTCTTCAGTTGCTCAGTGTTTAGTCCTAGGTGCGGTGCTGTTCCCGCGGTGCCTCGCAAGGAAGACACGGCTATGACCTTAGTTCACAGTTGAGGGCGTGGCTGTTGTTAGCTGAGTGTCTGCTTGAGGCCACACAGTTGTGACCCACAGAGACAGGGTTGCAGTCCTCCTGTGGTTCTCTAGAGCCAGTTCACGGGTTACCAGTTACATCAGATGAAGACATTTCTTCATCGTGTGTGCTGCCGATAGTTACGTCTCTCACGTGAAAACTGATTCTACGCAGCCTGACTTAGTAAAGGCTGAACCAGACTGGTTCTGTTCTGGAGAATGGCAGCCTTTATGATATGGCAGTGTTTGGTTTGGGACCGCTTAATACTTGTCATGGGATCCAAGACTTTCTTTTCAGCTAAACTTCCAGTTTGCTTCAGGGGTCCTGCACAGAGGGGCATCTGACCAGTACAACTGTTTCCCTGTCCAAAGTGGGAAGCTGTGTGTGTGTGCGTGTGTGCGTGTGCGTGTGTGTGTGTGTGGTACTTGGGATTGAACTAAGGCCTCATATGCTAAACAAGCATTTTACCACTGAGCTATGTCTCCAGCCTAGAAACTTCTATGAAAAAAAAAAGTATTTTTTACCAGTAGTTTTAAAGTATTTCTATCATGGCCGGGCAGTAGTGGTGCATACCTTTAATCTCAGCACCTGGGAGGCAGAGGCAGGTGGATCTTTGTGAGTTGGAGGCCAGTCAGGTCTACAGAGTGAGTTCCAGGACAGGCTCCAAAGCAACAGAGAAACCCTGTCTCAGAAAGTTTTTTTAGAAAGTAGTTTAACATTCTCTCATACACATTAAGAGGCAGCCCACTGAAAGCACACTTCAAAGTTCTGTGTTCCCAAGTAACCACGTGGATCTCACAAGGGTCTTGTGGTTACTTAATCGTTGATGAGCAAAAGCCAGTGATTTAACATGGCACATTGAAAGAGGCAGTTTCCCAGTTACAGCAAATCCAGTGATGGTTTTCCTTGGTAGTTACTAAGTGGCTGATGTTCCGCACATACTACCTACTGTTCAAAACAGCAGCTTTCATGAAAATAATATTTCTATAACAAATGCCTAGGTATTTGGATTGGGTAAACAGTGTAAGTATTTAGGGGGTGAAAGATTCTGCCCTCCTAGAATGAGCTGCTTCCTGGATGACCTAGTAGCCCACTGTAATTGCTTTTTTTAAAAAATGTGTATGAATGTTTTGCCTGAATACACGTGTGTCCGTGTACCATGTGCATGCAGTGCCTAGAGAGGCTGGAAGAGGCCATCAGATCCCCTGGGACAGCAGTTACTGACAGCTATGAGCTGCCCTGTGGGTGCTGGGAATTGAACCCTGGTCCTTTTAACCACTCAGTGGTCCTTAACCACTGCGCCATCTCTCCAGCTCTGTAATTATATATTTTCAAAGAACTTTAGAGTTTTGTTAGTTTTTACGCTGGTTTAGGGCTGCTGTGGGTCAGTGGCAAAACAATTAATTAACACCAGTGCTGCAAAAGGCCAGCTGAAGTACATCAGGTGATTTTGCCTCCACGGTCTTAAGGGGCGCTTTCTTCTCTCCTGCACAGCAAATGAAGAAGCACCCTTGCCGCCAGTGTGACAAGTCCTTCAGCTCCTCCCACAGCCTGTGCCGCCACAATCGCATCAAGCACAAAGGCATCAGGAAAGTGTATGCCTGCTCGTAAGTCTCACGTCTGCTATGGACACACAGAGAAGGGAAGGCGGCCACAGAGCTTCTCGGGTTTTCCCATTTCCTTTTGATTGTTCCTCTGCTCTGGTGGCTAGGCTGTGTACATATTACCCGTATCCTGCTTCAGGGCATTTGTTTCCAACGCCCCCTGTCAAATGAGCAGCATTTCTTTACACACACTTGCACTGTGTTCTGTTACTAAGTGGGAAGTGTTTGTTTTAGAGTGCAGTGGGCTTGCCAGGAACTCAGTGGATGAGACACCTTTTATACAGTGAGTGGACCGTGTAGATTTAGGAATGATTTACTCCGATTCAGTGAAGGCTAAGAAGGGGGCCCATTTATACACTTAGCTCTAGCCCAGGCCATGAGCCATCTGGCTGCAACCAGTTAGAGACGCTTTGACTGTTGGCTGAGATCCAACAAATGTGAGGGACTGAGGGACCAGTGTAAACTCATCCACCAATAATCAGTCCTGAATTGCCTCTTGGTATGAGATGAGCCGGCGGTGGTTATCATTAGTGGGAAATCTGTATCACCCACTCAACCCACATGTGCAGAGTGTGTAGACAGGTTAAAACTCTGCCCACAAGAGACCACAGAGGGGCCGGAGAGATGGCTCAGCACCTAAGAGCACTTGTTCCTGCAGAAGGCTTGAGTTTGATTCCTGGCACCTGCCTGGTCGTTTACAACCAATATAACTCCAGTTCCAAGGAATCCAGTACCCTCTTATGAATTCCTCAGTCAACAAGCACACATGTGGTGTACATATATATATGTAGGCAAAACTCACACATAGAAAATAAAATGAACAAATCTAATTAAAAGAGAGAAACAGAGAGACCACAGAGCCAGTGTGGAATGTGGTTGGTTGTGGTCAGAGTCAGGCCCCATGGACCTCGTGGTGAGGACACGCATGGGTTGGCCTTCAGACTAATGGGAACTTTCTGTGCCTGAGGTACTCAGGGAACATTTCCTAAGGAGGAGATCAGAGTGGGGGGGGGGAATGGACGAGGAGACAACACCCTGTGAAGTCTGTGTGTTCACAGTGAGAGCTCAGGCACACGGTGTCCTGGGCCGAGAAGATGGAAAAGCCTGGCGTGGCCCTCCATGACAGCCGCTGCCCTTGCTGTTTGTCTGGTCTTTTTTTAATGTTTTCCCCTTTTACTGAAAGGCAGTAAAATGAAAAGTGCTTTCCCCAGCTAATTTACTATTAAGCAGAAACCTTATGAGAGAACCAGTTAGATGCCCCAGTGAGTCAGTGCTTCATCAGCCTGACAGCCCCCTTAAGTGAAAGGGGGACCCCTGACTTAACAGGGTTGTCCCCGGCCCCACACAGGTGCTGTTGCATGCACAGACAACACACACACACACACTTTTTTGTTGTTGTTTTGTTTTTCTTTGTTTTTCAAGACAGGGTTTCTCTGTAAAGCTTTGGAGCCTGTCCTGGAACTCACTGTATACTAGACTGGCCTTGAACTCACGGAGATCTGCCCAGTCTGCCTCCCGAGTGCTGGGCTTAAAGGCGTGCGTGCGCCACCACCGCCTGGCTTTGGACTGTTTTCTTAGAAAAGTAGTAAATTAAACCTTTCCAGGAGATCATCTTTGTAGTGCACAAAATTTAAATAATTTACCTACCTCCAGTGGATAGCCTGCTTTCTGCCTTTTAATCTCCGGAATGAATAAGGATTTCCAGGTACAAATGTAAGTTGCATTTGTGCTTTGAGGAATGATGGGTAAATTAGTTTAGGCTAACAGGGGTTCAGAAGGAGCCTCCTGCAGCCTGGGGCAGCTCTTATGTAAATTCTAAGGGCTGCTCTGAGTCACTGTAAGAAAACTTAGAAATTTTAATATTCTCCAGTTTTTTAAGATTGAGGCCATCTAGAATTACAAATTAAATAATTGCTGAAATACATGCCTGAACCAAAGTAGGCTGTTCCTATGAGGGCACAGCAGAGGTGGAGAGGTGGCTCAGCAGGTAAGAGTTCTCGCTGCTCTTCCACAACCCCCTCTAACAACTCAAGCACCAGGCTCTTCCTGTCTGCATGTGACATCTACACATACACATGTGACATCCACACATACACATGTGACATCCACACATACACACGTGACATCCACACATACACACGTGACATCTACACATACACACGTGACATCCGCACATACACATGTGACATCCGCACATACACATGTGACATCCACACATACACACGTGAC